TATGACAGCCACGATAAAAAGGCATTATAATGTTAATTAATTCACCAAAACCACATCAAATAAATCTACTTAGGGTTAGGAGGAATCTTGAAGTCAGGAAAAGAGACTATTCCAGTAAAATCATTTTCTTCCAAAATATCCACTTCCACTCCTTCAGGATCCTTGAAATGACAAGAGGAAACCATGAGCAGTTATAGATTGTTTTCATCAAAAGGGGAATTTTATTTGTAGAAACAACTCAGACTGAAATTCTGATAAAATATTTTATTCTGGTTCCACCAAGTAAAAGCTATGCTTAAAATAGATTAAAAATTACTGTAATAACAAGCCAATTGTAAAAGGCTAAAAAAATACAGTAGATACTGATTATTTTATATCTTAAATGAAACAAACAGTATAAAACATATATTATTAAAGTTCCCTCAAAAATCCTTTTCTCAGATATTAAAGGTATTTTTTTTTTCTGGAACAACTTCAGATCTGGGACTTGAAAACCTCTATTCAACTTTGCAAAGTCAATTTTAAATCTTTTAAAAGATGTCTGGCTACCTGCAAAAACATCTGAGAGTTTTATTAAACATTGGTTGCAATACTGATTTCCCATTTACCTACCTACCTTTATTTGTTATTAGAGCTAATTTAATATTAATATTAAATTCAATTACAACTCACCACAAAAGTTAGGACAGTCTCTCTCCGAGCTGGCTGCAGTTCTTGATTCAAAGAGTAAACTCTGACTTTCACTGTAAGAATAACAGCAATAAATCTCAAAATCAAAACAACCAAAAAAATTCACCGATATTTTTAACAAATTCCCTGGAGTATCTTTCAGTCTTTGTGCCCCAAATTAATCATGCAGGGTGAGGAGGGCAGGGAGAAGTGATTCACTTTTACAATATGATCAAATCATTCAAAGTATTATTCTGCTGATAAAAAAATTAAATATCAGCTGATGGCAATGCAACATAACCAAGAGCTTAAAGAACATTTAAATCCTAATTCCTTGTCAGAGTCAACAGACTTTAAAAATTAAATACCAGCCAAGAGAAATAAATATTATTTACCTGACTGATCAGGAGTATAAACTGGTTTGTCTGTATGAATAAAAAGAAACCCATTTTCATAGGAAACAGGAATTTTTTTAAATCTTGTAAAATGAGGAGAAACAGCTTCCAAATACAAATACTTCTCTGAATTATCTGTTCTTGGTAAATCTGTTGGTTGAATCTGTGGGAGGTAAAATAAAGATTTTTGAGGATTATTAAAGTATCTTTCATTTCTTTTTTCCTACAGTATTTTTTGATGCAAAGATTATCTGAGAAGCAATTACCACCCTGTGGTTGAGTATCATTAAATAAAAATATCAACACTCACAAGGATTTATTCTTGCTTACAGGATAAAGGATGATCTGGAGTATTAAGCTCCAGATACTCTGAAATTTTGCATTTTATTTATGCCCAGAACTAGACCAGCAAAATTCAAAGCCCAGCAATGAGGTTACCACAGTACAAATTATCAGATTGCCATTTATGCACAGGATGGCTCCTGGCCACAACAAAGCTGCTGCTCTAGTTGGTATTTTGATTTGATTTTCCCTATTTTTAGAGTTATGCAAGTATGGTAATGTTTCTAAAATACTGTTTCTTAAATAAAAATAATGTTTCTAAAATAGTTTGATTCTATGTTTAACCTCAGTGTTGTTCCTTTACACTGATTTTATTCAGAGTAATTTTAATGAATTGGGGCATTAGGTTTCCCTCCCCAGCTTAAACAACTGAAAACTTACCATAATCTTTTTTTTTTAAGCCTTATCTCTAAATATGATGATAAAAACACTGTAAGAAAAATCTGAATTCCTTACTGTTAAAGTTACAGCATCTTGGAATTTGTTGTCTGGAGTTAAGGAAATCCGACCAGACGAATACACAGCAAGCTTATCTGGGAAGCTTTTCAGGGCAATATTGACTGGAAATTCCTCCTCATAGCCAAAAGCTTGAACTACAACTTTCTCAGAGGCCCCAGCCCGGAATATCTTTGGTGCTGTCAGGACATATCTGTACATTAAATATAAAACAAAACAACAGTCATGGAACTGTATTTATTTCAGATTTCTTACTTCTCTTTGTAATTCAGTTGCATGCACAGCGTTAAAGCAAACAGGATAATTGTAAAACACGAATTAAAATCCTATTTGGATAGCGGGCTCTATGTAAATCCTGGATTTATCTACCCAAAAGACAGGACAGCAATCAAGTAACATTTCCAGTAAACTCCGTATTTGCTTTTACTTACGTTTTCTCTTGGCTTAAAGTCGTTCCAGAAAAGAGCAGAACAATGAAATATATTAAAATAATCATTGTGCCTGGGACAAGAGCATAGATGGTAATGAGGGTGGGTGAAGGAGCCTCTGCTGTGGGTGAGCAGAAACGCCACCAGCACATCTCACTCACAGTTAATCATTAATGGCAAATCATTCTTTACCAAAACATCATTGCTGCCTCCTGAGGAAGCCAGAACTGCTCAACTTATTAATTTTTTAATTTAGGATTTCAATTCTTAACGTGTCCACGGCAATCCTGTGTCAGTCCTCACCTTCCGTCTGACAACTGAACAATAAAATAATTTTCAGATGTCAAAAAAAAACCCCAATAAACAAAAAAATCGATTCAGTTTGCCCTTAGTAATCTTTTTTAAATCAAAATGACTTTGTGTGTGCAGCAAAAAAGCATTTTATATCAAACAATGTGTGGATGTGTTTAGATCAGCATTACTTTTTTATTGTTTTGAAATAACCTTTCCCTCACAAATTCCTCTTAGTCCAGATTATGCCAACGTTTTATCATTACAAATAAAAACTGCAATACGGAAATATTAGGGCACAATATGTCAACATGCACTATTTTAAACAGCATTTTGCATTTTAAAAAATTGAAAAACTTTGCAAAAAACCAAATCCCACAGCCATTGGTGACAAAACCTTCACAGGCCTGACATTCAGGAAAGCACCCCAACAAATAAGTTTTTTGTAAAGTTAAACAAAGTTGTGCAAGAATGCTGAAGTTTAAACAAATATTGAGGTCAACCTTTACGGGAAAAGCATTTACAAAACTGGTTCTGATCGATATAAAATGAAATTACTGTAAGGTCACCAGATGTAATGAACTAGAAGGGAAGCAATAATAGAATAAAAGCGTATACAATGTAAGATGCTTAATATTATTAAAATGAGTGGCCAACATATGCTTTACTAAATACCACTGGGGGTGGTATGTAAATGAAAAGGTGCAAATAGTGAAGAACACTGGGAAGTGCTTTCAAAGTCTAACAGCACTCTGAAATCGGGTTTTTTAAATCGAATTATGCTCCTTCCCTACGTTTTTTAGACACTGGTTTTTCAACCCTGCATTTCACACTTAATTACACAGATACTGAATTAACACACTCCAAGTGTTAAAAAGAGATTTATTTACACACCTCTGTGAAAATGACTGTGATTCAGACCAGACACGGAGAGTTTATAATTGTAAATGAATTGTGCATTTCCAATAAAGCTCATGTATATGCAATTTTGCAGTGAGATGCTAACGTGACACACTCAGGGAGTACAGACAGGGCAAAAACACCTATCAGCAGAGCAAGCTATATTGTTTACACAGCGATTCGGGTTTAAAACAAACCAAAACCCCTCAAGATTTTATTATCTGTACAATGATTTGGGCTTTATTTACCACAGGAGCCCGGGGACCGCCCTGAGGGGACGCAGCGGGAAATGGCGAGCGGGGGGCGGGGCCTGCGAGGCGGGAAAGGCGCGGGGTGGGCGGGGCTTGAGGAGGCTCCGCCCCTCGGCCTCGCCCTCAGCACGGACAAAATGGCGGCGGGGCGGCCCCTCAGGGAGCGCCCTTAAAGGAGCCGCACCGCCCGGGGCTCGGCGGTGAGGGCGGCGATCGCTCGGTGAGGGGAAAGAGGCGGCGGGGAGGTGCGGGGAGAACCGGTGCCATCATTCGGGAGCGCTGCGAGGTCGCCCTGCCCGGCCGTGCCGCGGCGGCGAGCGGTGAGGCGGCGTTACCATGTCAACGCAGGTAATCAAAGCGGAGGCCTGAGGGGGCGGCGGCGGCGGCGGGGTCGCCCTGAGGCGGTGACCGGGAGGGGATGGAGCACACGGGGCCCCGATCCCCGATTTCCCCTGCGAATACACAGCCTGTCCTCAGGAAGCAGCGTTAAAACCACGAACTGCGCTCCCTGAAACGTGAAGGAACGCCCCAATGTGGCTTTGCATTAGCGCGCCAGCATCTTTCTGTCCTGCGCCTTTCAGCCTCACTGATCCTGTATGAATTGTGTTCCCAAGTAATGGATAGAAAACTACTTATTCTTGCCCGCCTTCCCTTGTCCTTATTTCCTTTCCAATTTCGGAGAGGAAAAAAAAAAATCCATCTCAATGAAGAACATATTCTCAAGGCATAATGTCATCACACACAAAGCTCCAAATTCCCGGAACAGAAGACTTTTCTCTCTTAAAGAACGTCTTAAAATGTGCTCCTTGTTCAGTGGGTGGAGGTGTTAGTAAAGCTCTGTCTCTTGGAGATGGTTGCTGCGAGGGTTTTGTCACACAGAGTACATGACTTTTCCTACACTTACCCCTGGGGAAACATGTTAATCCCTGAGGGAAGTTTCTGTTAACATCCTCTGGAATTTCCCAGGCAGTCACAGGATAATTTGTTTGCAGAAAGGAAAACTGGGAATGCCAGTGCTAGACTGATCTTAATTTTTTTTTTTTTCTCAGTTACCTTTTCCTGCTTGCATTTGTTCTTACTGCAGAGTGGGTGATTTCAAGCTTTAGGAATAGTTGGAATCCAATCCTCTGCTTCTGTCCCTGCCAGCTCTGTTAGCCTGAGCTGAGAGCATCTCCAGAACCTGGCAGAGTTTGTGGAAACCACAGCCTGCAGGACAGGAGGAAGAGGAGCTGCAAACACAAAGCTGCTCAATCAGTCCCTGGGGCTGTGCTCTACAAGGGTGGGAGTATAAAAGTAAAATTCTTCCCAATGCCAGGGAAACTGGAAGCTGACAGCCATTGGAGATGTGGTTTTCGGCAGCTTCTGCAGCACCTTTTTGTTGTCATGCAAGCCTTTAAGATTTAGCTTTCTCCACATTCTGATAATTGTTTCAGTTCTTCCAGGTATTGCCATGTGATACCCAGCATTTCTGGCAATGAAGAAAGGCTCTGTAAGGAAAGCTGCAGGTAGAAAACCACAGGCACCTGAGCCAATGCCACCTGTGAGTTCAGGTGCCACATCTCCACATCTTGGCCAGCAGACACGTCCAGCTGCTCCCAAAAGCATGGAGCACAGACTCCAACGACTGGATATTCCAGCAGAAAGTTTTGGAGCTGCTTTTAAATTTCAGAAAGGTATTGTAAAGTAAATAATGCTGGTATCCAAGTACATACCACAGGCATTAAAAGCCAGTGTTCTGTGAATTGTGTGATTAAAGATGTTTGATCTGTTGGAAAGAAGCCTTAAAAAATTGCTTGAATTTTTTTTTTTTAAACATATGGAAATGGGAGTAATGAAAGCTGGGGAGAATAATGAAACTTTCACTCTTTTCTGTAAATGCTTCTAGGGGGATCATTTTCAATGCTTTTCCAGAAAACAACAAATAAAAAACCATCAATCCTTTCTGTTTAATTTCAGGTGAAAATGGTGTTAGCCCAGGGGTTAAGTACATAACTGAAGCCCTCATAAAGGGTCTATCAAAACAGCAAAATCTGGCATTTATAAACTCACTGAATCTTTCTTCCCCAAAGGATGGGGACAAGAAATTTAAGGTAAGTTATTGGAAATAACTGGAGATTAAGCTAAGTTTAAAATAATTACAATTTATTGTTTAATACAGGCTTATTTTAAAGTGGATGTAAACAGCACAGTCTAATTCTGTTAGCCCTAGTTCTGCAACCAGCTTCTGTTAAAAAAAAAAGGCAATGGGGACTTGAGCAAAAGAAAAAGAATTGATTCATTAGAATGATATTTAAAATAGATTAGTTGATGTAATTTTTTAGGTTTTGGATTGTGCTGGTTTTGGTTGGTTTGGGGTATTTTGGGGTTTTGGTTTTTTTTTTAATAACATCTTTTTATGTAGATAAAGACACTGTAAATTTAAAATCCAGCTTTCCTAAAGTGGGATTTTAGAATATGACAATGAACTGTGATTAATAAAATATTACAATACTTGGTATTTTTTAATTAACAAAAAGCTGCTTTTCTCTTTAAAAACACCCCCAAACCTTATGCTAAGGGATTTTCTGTTCTTTAGTACATAGAAAATTTGGAAAAGTGCTCTAAACTAGAGGTGCTAAACCTTAGTAACAACCAAATAGAGAAGATTGAGAAGCTGGATAAACTGCTGAAGCTGCGTGAGCTCAACTTGTCAGGCAACAGAATCAGGTGAGAGGAGCACCCCAGGGTCAATAAAACTGATTTTTTTCCTTTCCTGTTTGAGTTTTCTTACAGCAGTGAACACTTGAGGTGAGTTTTTCTTGTATGTCAAGGAAGCTTTGAGGTCTTTTTAAAAAGCACAAGCTATGAGATATTAGAAGTATAAATGGTTTTGGGAAGTGCTGTCAGTGTGCCATGGCTGTGGTTTAATTTGTTTTCCTTGGAAACCAAGCCAGAAGTGCAAGTTTCCAGATACCACAACAAGAGTGGGTAATAACCCAATTAAGTGCATTAAAAATTAATTAAACTTTTACTGTTTATTATTACAGGTAATATAATAAGTTTTTTATTTTAGGAAAGGAAGCTGAATGGACTTGATCAGGCAGGCCATAAACTCCATAAATTGCTTTTGAACTCTTTTGAGAGCCTGGTGACTTATTTAAGTGTTAAAGGGTAATGGTTCATGCAGTAGCAAAACTCTTAATTGCTTTTAATTTTTCTGTCAATGAATTATGATCTTATGTGTTATAAAACTGCCTTTGCAGCAGAGAAGCTTCCCTTTCAGTAGAGACATTTACAATGGGAAGTGAGTAAAACCCCAGAGTTTCTACACATTGCATTCACACAACTTCCTCTCTCAACAGGAATTGAAAAGGGCACAGTAGATTTTAGCTCCTGCTCTGTTTTTACACTTTGGTGATGTACAGCTCATCTATACTCAAAAAACAGCACAATCACAGGAGCACATCCTGCTTTGTTATAATATTCATGCTTTACTTAATGCTCACACATACTCATAAAAAATGCTCAAGTAAACTAAGACCTAGCATGGTTTCCTCCAAAGTTTTAATGGAAACACTAAAAATGGAGCTCTTCATGCTGTCAGTTTACAGCTGATCCTTCCTTATATGGGGGAAAAAAAAACAAAAAAACACTTTATTTTGATTCATCTTTTTTCCATTGCATTCTCAGGAGAGAAAGAGCAAATTTTGCTAATTAAAATGGATTTACCACACATTAAAATAATGTTAAACTCATTACTTTTGCATGTCTTCATTTCAATGTTATGACAATGACAGAAAATTGTGCTGTGATTTTTTTTTTGGTCTTTTAATACTTGTAAGCTGGTGTTGTTTCATTTGAATTGTCCATGGCAGTAAATAATGGTTTTGCTGATCTCTTGATTAATTAATTGTGACAGATTTTGCTGTAGTTTATCCATAACGCCTCAGTTTCACTTTAAATTTGCTGTGTTTCATGACAAATTCCATTTTTCTTCTCATTTTCAGCAAAATTGAAGGCTTAGAACATTTGCAGAACCTCCAGAAGCTGAACCTGGCAGGGAATGAGATTGAGCACATTCCTGTGTGGGTAGGCAAGAAACTGAGATCCCTGCGCAGCCTGAATTTGAGAGGGAATAAAGTGTCCTCAGTAAGTGATTCCAGTTAGAAACAGCCATTGTTCAGTGATTTCCTGAACTGAGCTGGGGTATTTAATAAAGTTATTTATCAGAGAAACTCCTGTTGTGCAGGTATTGAAGATGCAAATCTATATTATGTTGTTTGGGAAAACATAACTTTTTGGGAGGTTATACATCCACAGGCCTTGGCATCTTGAAATTTCCAAGATAAAGCTTGATTGCATTTACACTCTTTGCAGTGTAAATTTTTTATAGAGGACATAATCTGATTTTAAGAAGTGACTTTAGTCATAATACTATGTATTTTGGTTGGTTTTTAGAGATTATTCTTTAGCATAATGATTAAAATAAATCTTTTAATACAGACCAATCATGGAACATTCTATATAATCAGAAACTCACTCCTGAGGGTTTAATTCTTCTCAGAAGGATGTTTAATCATTGCTTTGTTTCTCTTTGATTTAGCTCCATGACATAGCTAAACTAAAGCCTCTGCAAGATCTGACCTCTCTGTTCCTTGCTGAAAATCCAGTTGCAAGTCTGCCTCACTACTGCTTGTACACCATATTCCACCTGAGGGCACTGGAAAACCTGGATGGACAGCCAGTGACAAACCATGACAGGCAGGAAGCTCTGGAGAGGTTTAATTTGGGTAATAATCTGTTAAATCTCTAGTGAATTACACAAAATTTAAGTTTAGAAGGTAAAGATTTTTCTACTGGAACGTTTCTCTGATTTTTGTTTTTCAGAAGAGATAGAAAAATTAGAAAGAGAGTTGGAAAACACAAAAAAGGAGATGGAGAACATGAAACTTACCCAGTCCAGAGTGCTTGAGCAACTTCAGCATCAAGATGAGCTCAACAGGTCACTAAAGGAAAAGGCTGTGCAACAGAGACAGAGCTTTGAAGAGCTGCAGAGGGACCTGGGCACCAAAAATGAGCTGGTAAGACAATCCCTGGCACTAAGGAAATCTTTGGACACAGAGGTGTCAATGTGAGAGTTCAAATGAAGATTTAATTTTAAAACTGAGAGATTTCCAACTGTTTAGAGAGTGATTATTGACCTTCAGTATTCTTTCTGTGGAAAAAGTAAGTCTATGGAAGCAGCACTCAGTATCACTCTTGAGATTTATAGTAACTTCTTTGTTTCTAGTCATTATTTATGTATTTCTGTTTAAAATTCTGTCAGCTGGTGAAAGGTTAAGCTGCAATATTGCTGATGTTCTGAATATCTGCACTGGTCAGACTCTGAAGTGCTGCTGCAGTAAGGGAGAAGATTGCTACTTTAATAAAAACAAGATGTGCACACAAGTTGTATGTCAGTAATAGCCCTTGATTATTATTTTGGGTAATGCCCACCACTGTATTTGTATTTCATTCACATCTCCTGAAGTCTTGTGTTTGAGTCTCTTTCATTGGTAGCCTTAAAATGCAAGCATAGTCCTACTGACTTGAGAGTGCTGGGTTGTGAATGACCTGATGGCAACTTAATATTTGGATTTTATCCTGTTAGACTTGTCCTCTAAAACTTTATCCTTCAGACTTTCATACCTGGTTCTTCTACAGCTCTTTCTCTGAACACACACACACAAACCAGCAGGCTGCTTCCAAAATGAAGTTTGCAATATAATGAGATTTAGCAGCAAATACTTTGCAGCTTGAACCCACTCTTGTCCTTTGGATGACAAACTTGGCTCACTTCTGTCTCCCTTTAGCTGGTGTCTGGGTTTGTCACAGTCCCCTTCCTGCAGAGCCTTTGTTCCTCACTCAAGGTAGCCCCACTGTGGCCCTGGGTTGCATGGTTGGTTTTATTTCTAGGATGTATTTGCACGTTTCCTGAATTAGCAATATTACTATGAAGTGTCCTAGTGAGACTTTATATTCACTGTGGTTTGGAATACAATTTTCTTGATATTTATTTCCCCTTTTCTCTGAAACAGAGTTAATTTTTGCATGATATTTATCAGGTTTTAAAATCTTTCTTTAAGCCTTTCCTGTTCTATTTCTTTTCCTCCATTAGTTCTGCTTTCCACTCTCTATTGGAATTGTGCTGCATGTTCTCCCTCAGGTATTCAGTGTGAAAAGTTGATTTAAAAAGAAATCACATGATGGACCTTTACTTAAAAATAACCTCAAAACCAATCTAGCACATGGTTAAGCTAAAATAAAATACACACGTACAAAATGTACTCTTGACAATTGAGATATTTTTGTTTTTTACAGACCATGAGTGTTAATAGTCCTCATGCTCACTAGTAGCAGTAAATATATTTGTTATTTTGGCCTAGATTTTGCTGAAGGATCATACCCAAATTATTGGTTTATCCTAAATTAGGTTTAAAAATAAACTTGTCACTTCCATGTACGTAAACTGAAAAGGCCTTTCATGTGATCATTTGTGTTCTATGAATTGTGGGGCTTTTATCTCCTCTTAGTCACCATTGTCAAATTGCCCTTTGTGATATTCTGGATCCCAAAGTGTGCTGTGAGCTTTGTTCCCACTCGCAGGGCTGTGCCCTGCCCTCTGTGGGGCTGCACTGAGTGTGACTGCAGTGAATGGCTGCAGCTCACTGGGTTTTGTGCTTTCTCAGCTGAAGCAGAAGACAGTGGAGCTCACCCGGGCTTGCCAGAAGCAGTATGAGCTGGAGCAGGAGCTGGCTTTTTACAAGATTGATGCAAAATTTGAGCCCTTAAATTATTTTCCCTCAGAGGTAATAATTTTAAAAATCGCTGATCTTTTTATTGCTTGATTTTTTTCAATTTGGAAAATAAAAACCTTATTAGTTTTTCTTGTAGTCTAATAGATACCAAGGCCCAACCTCTGTCATACCTGCAAAAAAATGTGGAGATGCCAGAATGAAATCCATAAGAAAAGTAAAGATCAGTAATCATTGACTACTATTAAGTTATGTCTGAGTAAAAAAATGTAATGAACTAAATATAATCTTAAGTAAATTCAATATACTAAGAAAAAGTTCCTCCAGATATCTGCAATAAACTGGTCACACCCCACTTGGGTTTGTTTGGTTTTAATTCAGCTATAAAATAGCAATGTTCAAGGCCAAAAATGTAAAGTATAATCTGTTTTCTTCTTATTCTTCCAATTTTAAATTGGTTTTCCTTGTCATGCTTGATAAAAGAACTTAATGTATGTTAGGAGTTGACTGCAGCCATAGTTCTGAGATAAAGACTCTGCTTTTTAACATTTCAGGAGGTTGAACTTGATAATGTACCTGGTGAAAGTCCCTACATTGGCAAGGCCAGGTACAAAAGGAATCTGTTTATAAGGGAAGGCTACATCCCTGACACTGCTCAGCAGCTGCAGGTTGGGAAAATGCAACAGGAGGAAGATGACTCCTGTAGGAAACCCCAGCTGGAATCACATCTCCAAAGTCTAGATAAAATACTGCAGGATAAAGAGGAAAAGATTAATTCAGGTAAAATCTTATTTTTTATCAAATAAAGATATAAACATGTGGATCAATGTGGTTTATCCAGTGGTTGCATGCTTGACATAAGAATAGAAACAGAGTGTCAAAGGCTGCAAGTGCTGTGATTGTTAAACACTGGGCTTGATGCATTTTTTTGTGTCAAAACTGCTACAGTTTTTTACTGCTGTTATTTTAAGATAACTCAGGATGAAAGCATTACATGTTACTGAAAACAGTTCTAGGGAGGTTTCGTGTTTGATGCATGAATTTAAATATGTAATAGCTGATTATCACTGTGTTAAAGCTGTGCTGATTAATGTGTTCACACACTGCTGTGTATTAGTGTTACACACAATATTATATTTTGTGGGATTGTGGGTTTTATGTTGGGTTTCTTTTGTCTGCAGCACAAAGAAGATTAGAAGAACTGCAAAGTGAAATTGGAGATGCAGAGCAACAAGTGCTGAAAGTAACAGGGGAACTGCAACAACTGGAGGATGCTCTGGCCCAGAAAAAAGTGAGTTGTTCCATGAATAGCAAGGGAAGGTGTTTGAAACAGTGTTGATGTAAGAAAATAAATCTTTTTCTCCCCATTCTCATCAAGAGGCTACTGTACAGACATAAATCCATGTGTCAAGCATCAGAAAAATCTTCCAGGTCTTAGAGAGCTTGTTGATAAATCAGCTGTTAGAGCTGTGGTGCAGTTAATGGCATCTGTTCCATGTGTTGCTGCTGATTTATTGCTGGCTTTCCCCAGAACCCTTTGGAAGAACCTGTGTGTAGGCTGAGTTGTGCAGCTGATAAGTAATGTGGCTACAGAATTGGCAGCAAGAATTCATTTTATCAGCATCAACTAAACCAGCATCTCCCACTTCTTGAACTGTCATCAATTATTGCTATTTTTAATTTTTAAACTTGCCTGAAAATCAGTGACCAGGATGTTCTTTATTTAAATGTTAAATATATTCTGGATCAGCTGTGTATTTCCAACCACTCAGCCTCCTAATGCTGTCTGCAGATCTCCCAGGCCAGCAGGGAAGCAATTGAACAGCAATTGAGTGAAAAGTTACAAATCCTGCAGGAGCTACGCAAGGAAACCTTAGAACTGGAAAAACAAATAGAGAAACAGAAGAGAGAAATAGGGAGAAATCAGAAAGAGCTTGAAGATTTGCAGAGTTCTCTTGGTTCTATAAATCCTGAGGATCCACGGCATGTAAGTAAAACCAGAATCTGAAGTTTTTACATACTGTGCAAGGGACTAAAGGCAGCTGTAACAGGTGACCATTCATTTGTTTCTGTTTCATGAGTTATATATTCTTCTGCTGTTTATCAAAATCATTAACTTCAAATTTGAAAGTTAAAAAATCTTTACAGCTAAAAAAATCCCCCCAAACCAACCTGCTTTGGTAAAACACTTGGACAACTCATTTTCCCAGCAGCTGCTGTAGAGCACGTTAAAACTAAATCTTTGTTTTGCACAAACACTGGGCAGAGCCTTGCAGACAATTTCTGTGTAAGAAATCCTTTGTGCATCTTTCTGTGGAGTCTGGCCTTAGAGGTTTTTAAAGATTTGGGTCTGTGAGTGCTCTCCCAGCCTGGTTGGTGGGGACTGATGGCCTTTCTGTGCTGTCACCTGCAGTCTGTCAGTCCTGACAGATCCCAGGGCTACTCGAGCTTTTTAATTTTATGATCATCAGGGATGCAGGACTTGTTCTGAGTTATTAACTGTGTTCAGGTACAGCAAACACTGCTAGAAACTAAATTAAAATGAAGCTGAATTACCATTAATAGTGTTTTTAAAAAGCTTATTTCTCTAAATTAAGGTTTTTCAGGCCTGCTGGATGCTCTTAAGTGAGAAATGAAAGTATTTTTATGCTTTGCTCCTTTTCCAGCAGGGCAAAACAACAAAAAAAAAGCGCAAACACTTTTTTTAAAAAAAACCTCCTTTTGTATTTTTAAACTTAATTTCCTCGCTGTTGAGTGACAGAAGGGCCGAGCGCGTTCCTGGGAGGGTCCCGGGGGGCAGGAGCGGGGCCGGGGCGGGAGCGAGCCCGGCCCTTCCCGCGGCCGCCTCTGGCTTCGAATCACAACACAGGAAGTTCCCAACGGCCGGGACCGGGAACGGGAACGGGGCTGGAAACGGGAACGGGGCTGGAAACGGGAACGGGAGCGAAGCCAGCGCAGCAGCTCCAGCCCCCGCCCCGGACCCACCCCGTGGAAATTCCGCTCAATTCCTGCCCCTGCTGAAGCTCCCGGTGCTTTATTTAAATGAATTCCCGCTCAGGGGTGGGGCGTTGTGCAAGTGCTGTCTCAGGAAGAAAAGACAAAGGCAAAGCTGTAAGTGGTCGGGGAAGTTGTGGCTTTTAGTTTCTTTTTAAAAATTGCATTTTTGGTGCCGTTCAGCAGCTGCAGCAAGATGGCTCAGTGGCAGCGGCTCGGGTTTTACTTGTTGAAATGTTGCTTTTGAAAGGTGCAGGGCAGTTTGTGTTTAGCAAGGTGACAAGTTGAACTGTGCCGATTTGGATGTTGAAGTTAACTTTCAGTTTAATCCGTTAAAAATACGAAAAGCTTTGGTTTTACCCATTTACTTTTGTTATGGAAGCAACTTTGTAAAGATTCTTTTTCCTGAGAAGTCATATTTAAATTTCCTACTGCTAGCTCGATTTATTTTTTTGAGTAGTAAGAAAAACATGGAGTTAATCATGATAGTATAATTTTGTATTTTCTCAAGTTTCTGGTGTTTGGGTTGTTTCTGAGCAATATTACACTGGTAAGAAATAACACTTTATTCTTGATAACCAAGTTTTTGTAAACAGCTGAAACAATCAGTTAATTCATACTAAATGCATGAAACCCTTGCCAAAGTCTGTCTGAGCTGTGTGGTGTATCTCCCAGAAATATTTTAACAAAATAAGATTTACTTAGGAATATTTACTTAGTAACTGTAAAGTTGGCCCGACTTGCTGTTTGTTCAGAGTATTTTCCTTCAAGTACTGACCTGACATGTTCTGAGGCATCCTCTGCTGTGAGGGCAATGCAGGATGACAGGATTAAAGGTTCTGGGAGAAATCATGTTTGTTCTTGATTGAGAGAGGAAGTGGTAGAACAAAATGTAAAGGCAGGAAGAAAGATAGTAGCCATGAGAACTAATTTATAAATGCAGGCTTTATTCAGCCTGGGCAGGGGGGAGCCTGCAGACAATGCTGGCAGTCACAGATTGCTGCTGATCTGGGCTCCTTTGTGGGGCAGGACTGAGGGAAAATAACAACAAGTAACAAACCCCAAAGCACCACAATGTGTGCTGAGCTTGTGGCTTTTCTTGCTGACAGTGAGACGTTGTAGAACTGAGACAAAATCCCGATTTGATTTTTGAAATCTGTGTCGATGCCTTGTTTTACCTTTCTGTTACTTGACAGGCTCACATGAAAGCTCAAAAAGCAAGTAAAGAACAGCACCTTGATATAATGAACAAACACTGCCAGCAGCTGGAGACTCGCCTGGATGAGATGCTCTCCAGGATTGCAAAGGAAACTGAGGAAATCAAGGATTTGGAGCAGCAGCTCACTGATGGTAAATTGCAATTTTTGTCTTAAAGTATTTCTTATACTTAGGGCAAGATGAGAATGGAATTGAGGATTGTTTTGTTTATCTCTGCTCAAATGAAATACAGAATGGATGTAAAAGTGTTAAAAAACTATTCTTAACTGATGTAAAGGAAAATGTGTGTGCTCACCTCACTTCTACCTGCTTGGGAAAGGGGGACAGGAATGCACAAGGAGCTGCAGTTTCTTTTAACTCTTCCAGTGGCCAGGTTAACATAGTAATATTGGGAATCCTAACCTTAAAACCAGTATTTTCTGGTTGAGTTCTAGGTACATGTTTTTATTTACTCCAATGACAAACATTTAAAATTATGAAGGAAGGCAGTTTGTTTTTTTGGTAAATAAATGTGGCTTCTTAACTACCTCGAATTCATTTTGCATTCCTGCAGGTCAAATAGCAACAAATGAAGCACTGAAAAGGGATTTGGAAAGTATTATCATTGGCTTGCAGGAATACCTGCAAAGTGTGAAGCACCAAGCAGAACAGGCCAATGAGGAGTGTAAGAAGTTGCAGAAGGAAAAAAAATCTTTGCTGGGAAGATTGGCAGGTCTGGAGGAGGAAAAAAACAACCTGGAAGTGGTTGCCATGGATGCAGAAAATATGAGAAAAGTAAGGCTTAATACCTCTTTTCCTAAGTTCAGATATCTAAGAATAAACTTGAAAAAATAAACTGGTGATCAGATTGAGACTAGGAAAGCACAATTCCTTGGACAAAATAATTTCTGTTATGGTCATGTGATGAGATGTGCCCACACACCTCAGGAATAGAATCTGGCCTTCAGAACCAGTTACAGGAGACATGCAGCAAATCTGTGCTTTGTGGGAGAGGGCTCAGAAATGCAGGTTTCACCTTGCAGACATCACTGCAAATGGATTTGCAGGTGGCACCGTGGGGAGTGGCATCAGTGAAATCTCTGGCTTTGGCCAGGGCTGTGTCTCTGCAGCCTGGATCTGTCCTGACACAGAGCTGTCTGGGCATCCTGATCACTGTTGGGAACTCCTGGGACAATTGTGTTTCACTTCCAGCTCCACCTTTCTACCCTGAGTGTAGATTTTGGTCAGTCAGTGGCACCAGTGACCTGACCTTGCAGGTAGAAATGCCACCCACCTTCAAATTCTAATGGAGTTCCTGAGTTAAAGAGAAGGAAGGCAATATACTCTTAAATTTTGGCTCTCCATGAACATCCTTCTAAAATGGGTGTTAAATTCCAGGAAATTGCAATGCTAGAGAGTTCACTCCAGGAACAGAGAGAGATAAATGAGTCCCTTCAAGATGCTCAGGGGAAGGTCAGCACCTACAAGGCTGAGCTGGAAGCTCAATTAAGAGAGAGAAATTCTGAAGCCAAGCAACAAAAAGAAGAATTGGAAAGACTGAAACAACTTAGCCAGGTAAGAAGAGAGCTTTAGTGCTGCCAGAGGTGTTTGCTACCCCAGGACACCTCATCTCCAGTGTTAAATCACAAACAGCTGCTGGTTTAGGTGTGTCCCCACACTATCAGCTTGCTGGGATTTGGAACTTTGCTTTGAAGCAAGATCCAGATGGTTTGCTTGGGGTTGTTTTGTTGGATCTTTTTTAGGTGCTGTCATATTGTTACTGTTTTAAGAAATACATCTTGTTGTGTGTTGGGGTGACAGGTTGGGATTGGGATTGGGAATATTAATCTGGAGGTTTTGTGGTTTTGTAGATGGAGCTGTCAGCCCTGCAGGATGAACTTGAAAAGGAAAGACAGCTGTTAGAAAGTGCTCAGACCAAAGCACAACTGGCAGAAGAGAAAGAGCAACAAAATTACAAGCTGCTTTTACAGTTCAAGCAATTGCAGGTGAAGTATTCAGTGTATTAAATATCCTAGCATTTATCACTTGTGGATTTGTTTGCTTACATTCGTGTGGATTTTTTTTGGTCTATTTTCAGGGAGACAATAATTTCCTAAAACAACAGCTTAAAGATCTTCAGAATCACCTAAACCATGCAGTTGGTAACTTAATTCATCCTGAGGATGTCATGGCTTGTATAAATGAACTCAGGCAAAATCTTAAGACAGGAGCTGGAGAGATGAAGTGAGTAAAATAAAACTGCAGTGGGAGATTTGAGCATGTGAAAAGGGGCAGGACAAGAAGAAATGGCCTCAAGTTGTGCCAGGGAAGATCCAGTTTGGATATCTGGGAAATTTTCCTCACTGAAAATCTTGCCAGGCATTGGAACAGGCTGCCCAGAGCAGTGGTGGAATCTACATTTATTATTTAAAAATTATTTAGATGTGGCATTTGTGGACGTGGGTTAGTGGTGGCCTTGGCAGTCCTGGGGGAATGGTTGGTTTTGATGAACTCAGAGGGCTTTTCCAACCTAACCCAAATGAATTACACTAATTAATAAACTTGCACTATTTGTCATTCATGATCTCTATATCTGGGATCACAACTTCAAATCACTGTTTTCTGTCTTAGAACCTGGATTGTTTCTCTTTCAGGTGTACAAATTCAGCTGATATTTTAGGGAAAAACCTTGCAAGTTTGCAGAAAGAATTCAATGACATCCTTGCTGATGCACAGAAGGAAAAAGAGAAAATATGGGCTGGACAGAGACAGTTGCAGGAAGAAATGGTTTCCCAGCAGGAGAAACTGGAACAAATACAGGAGAAATACAGACAGGCATGTATCAAATAACAAAAACAGGAGTGAGACAATTTCAGCTTAGTTTAAAAAATGTAATCCGCAGCTGAAGGATTGAGTTTCACTTGATGAAGATTTGCTGTGCTCTGTCCTTCGTGTAACTGTGGAGTCTGGTTTGATTTTTCATTAATAGTCTTCCTGATTTTTACCTGATTATTTGGTGAGTTGGAGTTTAGTTAATGATCTGTCTCAGAGGCAACAAAGACTTTAATGACCACTAGAAAAATACAGCTCTGAACCTTCTTGAAAGATCATTATATCTCTAATAAATTAACTGAGGCACTCATAAAATATTACAGTTACAGTGGCATAGTAGTTACCTTTCCTTTCTGGTTTGATGCAAAGTATGCAGGTAACTGCATTTCCCAGAAATTTAATTAAATAATTAAAACAGTTTGGCTTTTGATTGGGAAAAAAAAAAATCTGGCTACTTGTTCTAACATTTTTTACTTACAGGTTAAAGCTGAAAACAAGCAAAATAAGAACAAGGTCCATCAGTTAGAGAATGAAATTCAACGTTTACATGAAAAAATAAAGAACATGGAGGAGATTCAGGGCCTGGCTGATCAGCAGCTCCAGGAGGCAGATGAGGAAAAAGAGGCTATTCTGGCCCAGCTGGAGAATTTAGAGAAGAGGGTAAGAATGGGTGAGGGCAGGTCCATGCACTGTGTGATTGCTCAGGAGAGAAGAAACAAAAACTTGTGAATTTTTGCTTTCTAAGATGAAACAACACATGTAAGACCACAAATGTTAAATATAACATCTTTCTTTTCCTTAAATTTTACTGCTTGTCCTCACTTTAGATTTTTTCTAAATAATACAATGAGGTATTTTTTTTCTAAATAAAATGGGGTGGGGAGGAGGATGAAAGAAAATACATTGTAAAAATCTATTTTCCTACTTTCAGAAAAAAAGAGAAGATGCCAGGGCCCAGATGCAGGTGCTGAGTCTGGATAAGGAGCTGAAGGAGCTGCAGAGAGCAGTGATCACCTCAGACAAGCTGGCAGCCACTGAGCTCTCCATGGCTGCAAACCAGCTCAAGGCTCTGGGGGGAACTGTGCTCAGGATTAACCAGGAGAGAGCTGAGGTGAATCACCACGAGGAATTCATGGATTGCTTGTCAATGCCATTGCAGTGGCAGCAGTGCTGGTGTCCTTCAGATTTGCTTCAGAGCTTGCTTGTCATAGTTCTGAGCTGCACAGGAGCTCTTGCTTGGGGCACTTGGAGATGCAGTAGATGAGTGAGGAAATTTGGGGATGGGCTGGTTCCTGCTGTGGGAGGGAAAGGGAGGGGGAGGATCATTAATCCCTTATTAACAATAGATAATACACTGTTCTGTAAGACAGAGAAACCAAAGAAAGGACTGGAAACTCTTTTTCAAACTGGGAAGCACTTTTGGCTACATGATAACATCTCCTCTGTACCAGTACTGTAAAGTTAAAGGAGAAACAGTATTTTACATGTATCTAAAATTCCAGAACAGTCAGGTGCTGATGCTTTTTAATAGTTAGCTTTTCACAATGGCACATCTTAAGCCTGAGAAATGTTCCTGTAAACTACAGCTCAAATGAAAATCTCAATTTCAGGAGCTTGAGGAAGCCCAAGAGTTCTGTGCTGAGGCAGCTCGTGCTTCCCAGGCTCTTGCCAAAGCAGAAGCAGAAATAGAATTGCTACAACAACTCCTGAAGGAGAAGGAAGAGCAAGTAGGTTGTTTGCTCTGTGTTTTATAAAATACCAGTGAGGTTCTGGAAATGGGATGTTTAGAGGTTCTTGCCCTGCCCTTTTCCCCTCAAGTTTTCCCAAATCACAGTGTTCTTCCCTCTGCTGACCTGCCCAAGAACAAACTGAAACCTCAGTGCCTGGAGCAGCTGAGTTTTAAAGAAAATAATCACCTGTTCACTCGAACATCTCTCATATGAGGGGATGGGAAGAACAGCTTTGTGGCATTGGCTGGGAGCTTTTTGTGATTTAAGCTTCTATTTCAAATAGCTTCTGCAGGAAATAGAGAAAGCTGGTGAGAAAACTGCTGCATCAAACACTCAGAAGTTTGAAATTAATAAATTAACTGAAGCCATGGAACAGCAAAAAGCAGAGATTGACCGTTTGAAATGGTTGTTGGATAATATTGGAACAGGTAATTTCTCTTTTCTCTCCACTGCTTGCAGATAGACAGGGATACAGAAGATTGTTGTTCCCCATTTCTCACTGTTTGAACTGAGAATCTGGAGAGCAGTGTGCAGAATATCCAGGTTAATACAGGATAAGTGTCAATATTCATTAGTTTGCAGCTTTTACAGCTGGTTGTGCTGAGCATTCCACTTTAAGTGCTCTAGGACATTGTCAGAGCTGTGTGTAAGGAAAATGAGCAGCAGTTACCTGGATCTGAACTTGTATTTCCACAGTCTTAAACCACCAAACCTCCTGTGTATGTCTGTCATTACAGATAACATTTAGTTTGTTTCCCTCAGCAATTAATTTTTTTTATTATAGTTCCAGTTTAACTGGATAACATTGAGGGGAAAGTTGAATGCAGTATCTATTTGACTCTAAAACTGTGCTTTATTTCCAGGTAACAAAGATGAAATTGAGACCTTACAGGATGAAATTGCAGCCCTCAGAAATGTGCTCTCACAGCAGAATGATCACAGCACCAGTCCAGCAGAGCCCCTGAAAAGAGGGGGATACTGGTACTACCTGCCATCATCACAGGTCAGGAATAAAAATCCTCTTATGGATTGTTTTCCTTGTGGGAAGCCCTTTGATGGGGGAAAGTGCATTATAAATTTAGTAGATTTGGGAGAAATTGAAGAGCAAATATTGGCTGGCATGTAGGAGAAATACTGAAATAAAACACACAAATGTTCCCTAGTAAAGCCCTTTATTGTGCTGACAGGAGTCCAAGGTACATAACATTGGGAGAGAACTGTTCAGTGGGCAGTACTGAAAATCCATTTAGGTCAGGGTTAAAAGGGAATGTTACAAACATTTCTTTCAAAAGAATATTTGACTGAATTTAAAACCATTACTGTCAAAATATATTTAGTGTTTTAAAGCATGCTTAGAACTGAGAGACAGCAGAGTGTGTGTAGCCTGTTCTGAAAAATCATTAGAATATCTACAACAACTCCTTTATTTGCCAGGCTTTGTCATTTCCAGATTAACAGGTGCTGTTTTTTTTTTTTTTTTTTCTTTAGGCTTCAACTCCTGCTTCCCAGAGCACCAAAGACTCTGGAGTGTGTTTGGGGTGCTCTGGCACATCCCCAGCCAGGAGAGGGGATGCTCAGGACAGGCCCTGTGGGAGGGAGGACTTGCCCAGCCAAGGATGTTGGGTTTATTCACCAGTCAGAAATAAGTTGTACAAAGCAAATTCTGGCAAAGGTAAGTCAGTGTCAGTCTCAGAATGTTTAGGAGCAGATTAAAGATGGGCTTGCTTAGAGTTCACAGAGTTTTTATTTTGATGGGCATGAGTGAATATAAATGTTTATTACTGTTGAATAACTTCATTTTAAAAGCAACATTTGTTACATTTTTGTAAATTACATAGAATTTAAAATGTGCATTTGAAGACTATTTCTACTGAAAAAAATTATTAAAAATAACATGTTTTGTTTTGTCTCTTTTAAAGCTAGAAGAGCAAAAGAAGATGGTGGAGGAAATGCAGGATCTCCTGTCCCTGAAGGCTCTCCCTTTGTCCCACCCCCAGGCACTGTTATTTACACAGCACTTCCAGATGGGACCCCTGCACCTCAGGGTGTGGGGGTTTATGGCCCTGCTCCTGCAGCAGCCACTGGAGCTCCAGTCACTCCTGGATCCATCATCCATGGGCCAGCTCCTCTGGGATGCCAGGTGCTTTGTGGCCCTCTGCCTCCAAACTTCACTGTGCCACTCATTCCCCTGGGAGTGCTCCACTGCAACGTGCCTGGACATCAGGATCTGGTAAGAACCAGAGCTGCAGCTGGAACCTTTGGGAACAGACTGACAAACGGGTTAGGAAAAGCTCCCTGCTGGGAAGGGGCTGGATCTGATGACAGGCTTTGCCCTCTGGAGCTGCTCCTGAGTGTCAGGAGGCCTCAGCTGGAAAACAGATCCTGATTGTCTTGTTCTGTTCCCTGTGTGCAGGAGAGTGAAGTCTCGAGGCTGGAAGACACTGTGTGCTATTTAAAGTCTCAGAAATACAAAGAGAAATGCTCCGAGGCAGCTGAGCAGAAATACAAAAAGGAGGTGGAAAGATTGCAGGGAAATGTCGAAGAACTTGAGCAGGAGAGGGAGGAGCTGCAGTGTGAAGTGGCAGAGCTGCACCGAGCTCAGGAACGGAGCACACGCAGGTGGGGACAGCATGGAGTGCTCTGACAGCAAATGTGCAAACACCTGAACCTTCTCCCAGCAAAAATCAACTTTCTAACTCATCTACTATTCTAGAACGTCAAGATCTTTGGCACCTCTATTTTAATTCCACGTTTTTCATCCTGACCTTTCAGGGACTTCATTGATGGCTACACTGAGAGCTTCCTTGCAGAGCTGCAGCTGGAGAAGTCCCTGCAGCAGCAGGAAGATGTTGCAGAGGAGATTGAATGTGCAGAGAAGACTCTGCTGAAACGCAGGGCCGAGCTCAGAGAGGCTGACAGGCTCCTCACAGAGGCTCAGGTGGAGCTCGAGAGCACCCGGGGCAAGGTGAGTGAAGGCAAAACCCTGAGGGCAGGAGGATTTGTGTTCTTTTGTTTGTTCTTTTGTTTGTCTAGGCAGTTTATTTTCACGTGGCTAATCCGGAGCTTCTTAAAATGTTTCTATATGAAAATAAATTGGGAAATAAACTGTGCTAGAAGAACTTGGTTTGTCCTTGTTGAAGAGGAGGAAGGTTTTCTGTTCTGGAAAAGAGAGGAGGAAAAGTTGTTCCTGGTAGGAAGAGGGAGAAGGCTGAGGAGGAGTATTCAAGCCAGGAGCTCACATTTAAACAGCAAATGCGGCATAAAGTGGAATGTATTGTCTCAATCTTTACTTTTTGCTTTAGACTAAAGAGACTCTGCAGAAATACAATCGTGCCAAACATAATTTGTCCTGCACTGAAATGGAGGCAGAGGAGCTGGAACAGAGGGCTCAGGAAACAGCCACCAAAATTGTGAAAGCAACTCAGCAGCTCAGGTACCCTGAGTGCTCCTGTGGGTTTGTGTCACACACGGGGTGAGGACAAGGACTGGGTTCTTCCCAGAATCAAGATGCTGCTTTTGGAGAGGGAGAGCTGTTAAAATGTTAATCTGAAAAGGTATAAATGCTCTTCTAGGTTATTACAGACAGATACAAGGGGTTTGGAACAGCTGAAGAAGGAACAAGAAGGTATTTTGAAGGAACTCAACAAAATGGTGGCTGCAAGAAACTCTGAGTTGCAATCATTAAACCAGAAGATAGAAATGCTCACTGAAAGGTGAGGACTTTTAATTTACCATGAACTGTATGAAGTTAAACATGTCCTCCTCCAGTGAGGCACTGCCTCAGATATTCTCATTTCTTCTGACTCCTGTTTTTATCCTCACTCAGTCTCCAGAAGCTCCAAGGAGATATTCGACTTGCAGAAGGTAATGAGGGCCAGCATCTCCAAATCATCAGAGAAGCAGAAAACCTTGTTCAGGGCAAGAAAACTGAACTGGAAACATTGAAAGATCAGGTGAGGCTTGGCCTACTAACCCTGGGCTGTCCATTTTGTTGGAATTGATCTTTATCTCATAATTATGGTCCCAGTCTCTCTGATGCACTTTTTCATGTGGGGTTTTTTTTTTTTATGTTTAGTTACAAAAACAAAAGCTTGCACTGATTCTTCTGTTAAACTTCTCTACTGCAGATTTCTGCTCGGCAGCAAGAGCTCTTATTCCTGGAGCAGCAGGTGACTCAAAGAACAGAAGAGCTCCATGGCCTTCAGGAGTGCATTTCCCAAAGGAAAGGTGACCTCAAAGAAGCTCTTCGAGATGGAGAGACTGAAGCACATGAGAAACTTCTCCAGATAAGGGTAAGTTTCCCAAATAAGTTTTCAAATCATTATAACAAAAGGCTTGAAGTACTATAACATTCCAGGAGGTTTCTACAAAATCAGTTTTGCTTTTTGTGCCCTCCCCAAACCCACTGAGAAATTGAACATGGAATTTTATGGTTTTGTGGGACTAAAAGCTTGGTCTAGATGCACAAAGAAGAACTCCCCAGTTCCAGTAATTCTTACAGAATTGGTCCCTTGAGAGCTAAATGACATTAAATATGAGTCTGTGAATGACTTCCTGTTGCTGAGGAGCAGCTGCTGAAGGAAATCAGTGTGATCAGTGTGTGTAAAACACAGCACAGCTGCCCCACTCTGTCCCCATCCCCATTTGCACAGAGAGGATTCTGTACTTCCCTGCTGAAATCAAAACCAAGTATCAGGGCTAATTATATTTTGTGGTTTATTTTCTTTTGTGAGGGCTTCTTGTCTGGTTTTGTTTTGAGGCCTATTACTCACTTGAATGACAATGTCGTGGTAAGATTTGGAGATCAAAATCTTTGCAGAATTACTACTCTAAATTATCAACAAACAAGACCTTTACTTAAATATTCTGTATTTTTTGTTTGTTAAACCAGAATACTGATGACAGACTGTTAAATAATGTTATAAATATTTAGAACTTCAGTTTAAAAAAATTCATTTAAAATTGCAAAGAATGGTATTCCTTGTAACACTGATACATTCTGACAGGAAATAAAAGTGCTTCTAGGAGAGCTTAATGTTGAGAGGAATGACCTGGATGTCCAGCTGAATGAGAGGAGAGCACAGCTTTCAGTCCTAAAGAAAGATATTAGAAAGGAGGAGGAAAATCTTCAAGGAATTCTTGGGCAAATCACCAAGCATAAGATGGGTATGTCCCAGGATTTAGTGGGTTTTGTGCAGATTGGGAAGGAGCACACAGAGCTCTTTAGTTCTCCTCATCCTAATGCAATAACTGCTCTTTATTTCACCTCACTAGAACTGAAACATGTGCTGGAAATGCTGGAGCTTGAGAAGAATGAACTGGAAGGTTTGAAACTCCAACATGAGCAGAAGGTCAATGAGCTGGAGAAGACCCAGGTGGCCATTCTAGAGGTAAGAAATGTTTCTGTGGCTGAGGCAGAAACTGGGAGATCTGTGGTTCTTTTAAACCTTGGGTAACAGAGTCCTGATGCTTTTAAATCAATCAGTTTCTAATCTGATTTCAGCTTATCACAGAAAAGTCTTAAGTCTGCTTAGGCCCTTTAGAATAATGGGATTTTTTGGTGTGTGTGAGAGAGGGAGCACAGAAACTTTTCTGTGGCTGTAGAATGATGGATGCTGGTTTTTAGGAGCTTCCAGAGTCTTTTTATCTGGATCCTGTGTCCTCACTTCCAAACTATGAGTCTGGAAGGGAATTTAACTCAGCTGGATGATCTCTAGCATTAAAAAGGTCCCCAAGGTTTTTGGAACCATTCTGTTGTCACCTTCCTCCATTAAATACACTCAGCTCACTCTGAGGGTGTCAATACTTGCTTAGCTTCTGGACCACATAAATGTGGTGCTCACCCTGCCTGTTTTTCCTAGGAGAAGTTAAAACTGGAGAATATTCAGAGATTATTTCAGTGCCAGCAAGGGGAAGTGGACTGGCAGGAGCAGCTCCTCAGGAAGGAGCGTGAGGAGAATGAACAGCTGGGCTCTCACATGAGAGCTCTGCAAAACAACATCGAGGCTCTGAGCAGAGAGAAGGAGAAGCTGGAAGAGGACTCCAGGAGTTTGGAGAAGAAGTTGTCACAAGCCAAAAGGTGGGGGAATGTCTTTTTTCCTGCAGAGATCAGAAGGGATGGGGAAGTGTTTGAGTGTTTGTCAGTTATAATTAAAATTACAGCTCGAACTCTGAAGTGCCCAATGATACAGAACAGGCATTTTCTTCTGTTCTGTGGAGCTTTTGCTTTAAGCCTCTCTACAGCAGATTTAAAAAATATTCAGCAATGGAGCTGATGAATCAGCAGCATTTGTTATATCCTGGCAATGCCACGAGAAATGTTACAAAAAGTGAAGTGTTGCATCTTGGAACAGGACACTTGTCTTGCTCCGACTGCTCGTGCCATCCCCTTGGGCTCATTTTTTAAGTCCTGACCAAGGATTTCCAACTAACCAAGAATATGATCCACATTTTACAGGGAATTAACTGCTGCTGAAGACAGCAGCAGAACTGCACTGTCCAACAGGGAAAAAGTGGAATTGGATGTTAAGAACCTGCAGCAGGAGGTGGAGCTACTGAACAAGCAGAAGAAATCACTGAATGCAGAGATTGCTGCTGTCCAGGAGAATCTTCAAGGTAAAGACCAATTTTTGGGTTTAAGCAGTTATTTTAAGAGAAATTCTGTTAAAAGACACACTTTAAGTGAACTGTATGATATTAAACATTCAGATGTCCTTAGGCAGAACGAATTTAACATGCTGAAAAGATGGAAATTTCATAAACTATGTTTGTGTTATTCACTCCTTGCTCATGAAAAGAGAGAATTTCTGTGTATTGGTATTTCAAACTACTGATTGATAATGTCACCAAATACTTTCCTAGGGAAAAAGGAAGAACTGGAAGCACTGAAAGGAGAACTGAATGGCTCGAGGCAGCAGCTTCACCTCGTGGAACAGGTTGGTCCCTCTGGTCACTCTGGGAGTCCTGTGCTGATCCCAACCTGTTCATGTGGGCACAGCTCAACATCAGAGCCCTGCAGAGCTGAGAACAGGGATTGCTTTATTGCCTTCCTCTTGCTGAGTGTGGAGTGGGTTTATTGCTTCTTAGGAAGAAGATAATGTAAAAACAACCAGCCAAGCAGCACCCTCTGGCTTTTATCTGGTGGCTCCTTTTGTATTGAGTCACTCTGTGGCTGCTTTGAGTGGAAGGAACCCTGAGAGTGCCACTGACCAGCTCTGTTCCCTCAAACCCAAACCTTTGGGGCTGCTTCCTTTTCCCAGCTCCTCCTGCCACATGCTTTTGTTTTCCACTGCAGGATTTGGAAAACAACTCCAGGCAGCAGGAGGAGCTGCTCAGAGAACAGGCAGCCCTGAAGGAAGAGATCCGAGGGTATTTGAGGAAAAGGAAGGAATGCCAGGAGAGGCACAAGAGGAGGGAGAACCAACTGCAGCAGCTCCAGAAAAAGATTGAGGAGAAGGAAACAGAACTCGCCCAACAGGAAGTGGTAACGAGCCCCCTGACTTGCCTCACTTCCTGCTGACCTTAAAAATAATTCAGGCCAAAAAGTCTGAGGTGTGAGTTTACAAATAATCACAAAAGCACAGATTCGTTTGGCCAAATTAGCTCGGGTTGGGTGAGGAGTTTCAGCAAATTGTTACCCAAAAGAAAAACTGAGGGAACTGTTCTGAAAATGAGAGAGGGAAGAAAAATTGACAGACATTGTTTGTCAGTAGGGACTGTTAGACTGCAGTTCTTGCCAGTTTATGCTGGTTTTAATTCTTTAATATCTCTTAGTGATGGGTTTTGTTCTCCCTGAGTTGGTGCTGGTTCAAGCTCAGAGTGGGGGTTTCTGGCAGGTTCTTCATCGCCTCAAGCAAAACTCAGAGCGTGAAGGGAAAAAACTGGAAGAATGTGCAGCTAAAATGAAGGATCAGAAAATCCTATTGGAAAAGGAACTAGCAGATCAACACAAGAAGCTGGAGCAGACAATAGCTAAAGTCAAGATGGCAGAAGAGAACCTTGGGAAGCTGGAAAAGGAGGAATCCCAGTGTGCAGCTCTTGAAGAAACCATCAGAAAAAGCAGTAAGAGTCATGGCACAAATGAACTGCCACCATCTCTGGGGGCTAAGCATAATGGCACAGATATTTTTGTTCATCATGCTTGGGTTCTTGGTGTTTGGAAAATATCTGTGGTGTATAAAGTGGGCCAAGATAAGCTTTTGCTAATCAGGATTTTTTTTTTTTTTTTAATGTTCATTACAGAACATCAGCTCTCAGAAAAAGAATTACAGTTACAACAAAAAGACAGAGAAATACAGTGTCTTCAGAAAGAACTGGAGCTCTCCAAGTGTGAGCTAAAGAAGCTTCAAGGTCAGATAGTGTCAGAGAGGAGAGAAGCAGAAAAACAAATCTTGAGTCTGAGAGAAACACAGAAAATGCAACGGCTGGAGCTTGAAAGCAAACTGCAAGTAAGTCCTCAGTGAGTGGAGGAAGTTTGGGGGTTTGGTTTATTTTAAACAGCAGAATGATGGAACACCCATTGTTGTCATTGGAGGAGCAAAGTAATGCAACAATTTCCTGACCAGACTTGAGGCAGCCAACCTCTGGCATTCCCAGTGCTGCACAGCACCTGAGTCACTGCTGTTTCTGCCTTCAGGGACTCCTGGGTTCTCTTAGCTCGTGTTCTGTAGTGGGTGCTGCAGTAAAAGGTCCCTGCACTTTCCTAGGAGCAGAAGCATGGAGGTGGCAGCTTGCACAGTGCCAGGGCTGAGCTCATCACCCACAGCCACTGCCCACGAGCCCAGCACCTCGAGGGGGCCCTGGGCCAGCCCCAGAGCCAGGTACAGCTGGGTGCCAAACCCAGGGGGGCTGAGGGTTCCTGGCTTCAGACGAGCTCATTTTGTATTGGTTTGGAATCTTCCTCCTGTATTGAAAATACACCCAGAGTTATAATTTATGCAAATCATTAAATGTTAGCAACGTTGAGAGCTACTCAGCAGGCATTTAACAACTTGCCAGTGCCAGCTTGGGCCAGCTTTTTCTTTAAATACTCACTTTAAATTAAAAAGTTCACCTTGTCTGACTCCTAGTCCTTCAGGAAGCCCTTTATAAACTGTTTTGAAGCCCTTTAAAATCAGAGAGGAATGTTGTTGGCACTTGGAAAGCACTGGCCCTGCAAGGTCAGAGTGTGGCAGGTTGTGGTTAACTCCTGGTAACTGAGGGGATTCCCTGGGGGAGTTAACATTGGAACCAGGGCAGAGGCTTTGGGATTTCTGGCTGCAGTGCTCCATGTGCAGAGCAGCCTTGTTGAGTTACACAGGAAAAGCTCTCAGGACTGGTGTTTGTAACTGTTCTGTGCTGCAGGTTAAAACCCAAGACCTGGAAGAGAGACAAAAGGAAATGGAGAGTGCAGCAACCTTGCTTAACCAGGAGGTTGAAAATGAAATTAGGACGGAGTTTAGATCTTCATGCTCATCTTCTACAGACCCGTTGGAAGATTTGGAAGCATCATTTGAAGGAAAGAGGAGTCTGCAGTGTGAGTGTGATAACTCAGAGACTGCTTCCTTCACTGCTGCCGACAGACAGCTCCTCTCCTTGGAAGAAAAGTTCAATATTTCCAGAATCTTCTTACTGGTAAAATGCTTTGGACAATAGCTGTTCCTGTGCTGGTGTTGGTCCCTGTGGCTGAATGTGCTTCTTGTTCCCAAAGGATGAGCAGTGGCGAGGAGAGGTGCTCCAGGAGAAGCTGCAGCAGCACGAGGACCGGCTCAAGGTGCCACATCCGTGCCCCTCACACCCCTTGGGCCCCTTCAAAACATGATCTAAACACCCTGGGGGAGTGGGGATCCTCCTACATTCTGTAGTGACCAGAGAGAGGAGCTTTGGTGGGAACAAAGCCTGGCTGAGTAATTTTAATTGGTGGTTAATTAGATGTTTGAATATTCCAACAAAATTCTCTCATTTTTGTCATCCTGTGGCAGAGGAGTTCAGCACCACCCACAATCACCTTAAGGTGCAGGCTCAGTCAGAACATTGGCCATCAAAACAGAGCTTGTTTAAAAAAAAAAAACTCCCAAACCCACTGCCCTCTGCTTATGGCATGAGACTCAACCTTGCAGTTTTTAGGGCTGACTTTACACAGCGTTTCCAGTGTGTGCCCAGCCCCGCCGTGACCCTCCCGTGTGTTGCAGGCACAGCTGCGGTGCTGCCTGGCCAAGCAGGCCGAGGTGCTGCTGCAGGGGAAGCGGCAGACGGCCGGGAGCCTGCACAGCCTCCAGCGCCAGCTCCAGGTGCTGGATGACCTGATCAGCAGCACTGCTTCAGATTCCTTCTTCCTGCCCAGCAGCCCCAGCCTCGGGTCTCTTCACAGTGCTCTGAGTGTATCAAAAGCTCAGGTAATGTTTCTGCTGCAGACCAGAATTCTGATTTGGGGGGGGGGGGTTTAATGGTTCTTCTCTCACTGGGAGTTGTTACAGCCTCTCTCTCTCCAAGGCTGGGCAGGGGTTTCTGAAGGTGGTGATCACACCTTACCCCTACTCTGGCAGTACCTGATGTTTTTGGAGAGGCTGAGCTTTCTTCACAGTGCTTTGGGGTTTTTACAGGTTCCCAGCAGCCCAGGAAGTGCTTTGGGGTCACCAGTGCTGCGTTCCAGCTCGCAGGGAATCTCTCGGTGAAGGCCAGAGGTGAGATGTGGCCTCAGGCCAGTTCCAACCTCCCAGGAACACGAGTGGCTGGAAGCTGAGGGACCGTGGGGCAGCTGTGGCTTCACAGACCACACTGTCCCTTCCCTGTGACAGCATTGCCAGGGCTGCTGTCCCTTCTGCTTTAGGTTTGTGTGTTGTGCAGAGGAGTCTGGGTGGGAGCTGCTGGGAGCGCTCCTGGGCCATGGAGTTACTGCTGCATGAACTGTTGCCATCCCTGGTCTTTCAGGAACTTTCCTGGTTCAGCCCCATGGCTGAACCTCTAGGACAGCTGGTTCCACCCCAGCCTGGTACAAAAGTGTTCTTTTGTAACGGTTTAAGGTACAAATGTTACTTGAAAAGTGGCTTCATTTTAAAAGGAAAGCCCAAAGCACATGCACAGCTCGGACAGGGGTGCTCAGGTGCCACCTCTGAAGAGTTCTCCTACCTCACTGGGTGAGCCTTGTCTGAAAAGGCCTTTGCCACCACTCACAAACAGCTGCTGCAAGGCCTGGACTGTGAAGGTTTTGTACAATTGACAACAGGTTTACATATATGTTGGTTTGTTTTTTAAAAAATGTCCAAACCAACCTCTTATTTAAGTGTTCAGCTGGTGGCCAGTTCCCACTTTAAAGAAACTTTGTTACAGGGCCTGAGCTGTTGCCAAATGCATGGAGGTTTAAATTCAATTATTTTGGATACTTCCTTAAATAAACTTTTGTGATTTGATGCTTTTATTTGGCAGTGGTTGTGGATTGTTTTCCTCAAAGCTGCTCTCCAGGACACTTGATACTTGGCACAGCCCGGGACAGTGACAGTGCCCTGAGTGCTGGGGCTCCTCCTTGCAGGAACGAGTCCAACTTTGGCCTTTGTGTCCTTGTCCCTTTTCCTCTCCCGAGGCTGCATCACTGATCTGAACCTGGTGGATAGAGACAACGGCTTCTTAACAAATGACAATCATCTTCCTCCCTCCTTAGTAGAGGAGAAGCCACTTTGTAAATCCTTCAGGCAGCAGGGCAAGGCCCAGGCCAACACAGGCCAGTGGCTGTGCAGGGATTGTCCCAGCCCTCCCCAGCCTTTCCCAGGGATGGGCTTTGGCAGCAGTCTCAGTCTTGCCCTTTCTCATCCTCACTAAAGATAACATTTTTCTATGCAGCCATTGTCAGAGTTCACTGGCAACAAACAGCACCCAGCCCTGCTTCCCTCAGAGAGCAGCTCTGGGAACCACTGGCAGATTCCTCTGAGAACCCCTGTGAAGTTTGTACCAAGGAAGAGCCAGGGTGAAGGCTGAGCACAAATCCCAGCACTCCAAGGAACCCACAGAGTGCTACAGCAAGTACCACACAGCAGGGAGCTTTATCTAGATACAGGTACTTTATTTACAAATATTTAGATTAATAGCATTGTTACATCAAATGAGAGGAGTACAGCAGTCCAAACAGATCCTTTCTGTGACAGAAACAATAAGACCTACTGTAACTTACTCTGGGAGTACAGGTATTGCACCTCAACAAGCTGTAGTCATTACAACACTGACTTCACATCAGCAGCAGGTCGTGGTCCCTGGGCAAACCCTGGTGCAGGCTTGGGTTAAGCAGGATGCAGGAGCTGGAGATCTTGAACATACCCATCTACTGAGGAACAGGAGTTAAAAAAGGACTAACCAGACAAACAAAGGGACAGCACACGAGTTACCCAAATCCTACTGTCTGCACATTCCAGTTTTGGCTTTTATTTAACATTGACTGTACAATACTCTGGTACCACTGGTTACTTACAAGTCTGAACATTGTAGAGTTTTAGTGTCTAGAGAGGGATTTTCAGACTACTTTGTATTTGAAACTCTGCAGTAAGCCTGAAGTGGGACATTTGGATTGTGGTTAAGCACTTACCCCCTTCCATTTTTAAACCTTGTGATGTTTTCCAAGTGAAGCTGCACAAGGAGCCACAGTAAAACCCCACATGAGTGCAGCAACTCCCCCACAGGCACGGTCACCACGTGACACCCCAGGAAGGACGTACTTGTAGGCTTGAAGCAAAACCCTTAAAAAAAACCCCCCTCACACAGCACTGTTAAAAAATACAAGAGTAGTTTAAAATCCCTAGAGAGCACGTGTTGTTCCACCTGTCCAGTTCAGCCTCTGCCCAGTCCCAAAGTTACAGGTACAAAAGCAGGAGGTGTGCAAGCCCGGGAATGCCAAAGAGAAGCAGGCAGAGCACTGCTGAGTGCAGAGGGGAGCATTGCACAGTGCAGAATGAGAGCCACACCCCACTAGTGTTAATGTCTGTGTCCCCAGCACCGTGGGGACCCCGTGAGTGACACCCAGCAGCTGCAGCCCCAGCTGGGCTGTGCTGTGCTGCCACGGGGGCACAGAGAGCTCAGACTGTACAAACGGGGGGTTCTTACACACTGCTCTAATGCCAGGCATCATTTTCTTCATTAAAATCATATACACAGGATGTATTTAACTGTTAGCTCAGTTCCTTCAAATTTTATACATATTTACGTTCTGTTAACAAAGGTAAAGGATAAAAGTGGCAAAAAAAATGACGTAAAGCTATTGAGCACAAGAATGAACAGATCGCTTCCCTGCGCCACCCCGACCCCAGCACATCCCACAGGGAATTCTTCCAACAAAAGCACATCATTACAGAGCCCCTTGCTACCATCGGAAGTCATTTCACAGCAAAAACTTATCCTTTACTACTGACAGCTCGAACAGTTAGAGGTGGGGAAGAAAGGCCAAAGAACCATGAAATAAACCATACAAGACAAAGCCCTGCGAAAGTGTAAAATCAGGAGTCCAGCATCAGTGCTCAGTTTAAATTATGTATCGGTGACACTATCACAAGGACAATCAAGGAAAAAAAAAAAACTTCTAGATTTACCATGCAGGAGAGGTTTTATTACTCTACTTGCCTTTGATAACCTGATTACATCTAAAGTTGTTTAGCAGTTTAGTACTGTGTTAAACTTGTCTCAGAGTTTTAATTAAACCCAGTAAGATGTACAGAAGATGGGGAAGCGGTCAAAAGCACCACTCCCTTAGAGCCAGAGGTGAGGGGTCAGGAGGAGCCACGGAGGGGTCACTAGCAGCCACAGCCTTCTCTCTGGGGCTGGGGTTCGCTCGTTAGCCGCCCCCCCTGCGGGGCTGACGGTTTGTGCTGTACGCCCGACTCGGCCGCGTTCAGGTCCAGGCTCCCGTCTTGGATGTTCTGGTAGATTTTCTTGGCAGCCTCCAGGAACGCGTCCTCCACGTTCTCTCCACTGCAAGAGAGCAGCAGGAGTTAGTGGGGATGCAGTGCTGCTCCAGGAGGGAGCTGGGCAGGCAATGGCCCCGGGAGATGGGCAGGCACTGTCCAGTCCTCATCAGCCCAGCCCCGGACAGAGCAATTCCCTCCCTGGCCACTACACCCATGCCAGGAGCAGCCAGGAATAAGGAATATGTGCCAAAGCATCGAGCCACGTGCACAGGACAGTTCTGACAGAGGCTTAAAGACAAGGGAGCCACTATGGATCAAAACTGCTTTTTGTTACAAAGTTCTGTTTCTGACAAGGGCCAGTGGGAGCCACATTTCCTGGTAGCCCTGGAGATTTGCTGCCCAGTGCCACAGCCAGCCCCAAGCATGGCACAGCAATTCTTCACTGACTGGAGGGGCTGGTCATTGCCTACAGACCAAACCTGCAGCTCTCAACACCCAGGGGAAGGAACCCTTTACACACTGAACACATTCACACTCAAATAAGGCCTGAAATCCAAATCAGTTCATTTGAATTCAACCAGTCTTTGCCTGAAATGCAGCCAGAGGTCTCAGTTCCAAGCTACTTTCAATTCACAGCAAACACACCAATCTGAACATTACCACAGCCAGAAGTCACTTACGTTTTTGCACTTGCTTCAAGGAACAATAAACCTGTTCAGAGACAGAGGTTTAACAGTCAGTGCACAACACACCTCAAAGAGCCCAATGTCAGACACATCACAACCTTCCCATTACATGCAAGACACTATTTTAGCACTAAACAAGTTTTTGTGACTATGTTAAGGCATCAACACAAGCTGATTTCTAGAACTAAGCACAGTTATCAGATTGCCTGAGGCACAGCAGGAGGCTGTACATACAATTCCATGACTCTGGAAGTGTAAGCTTACAACTATCAATGCTGAGGAGTCACTTTAACATCACTAACTTGTAGGAAAGTACCAGCTCAAGAGAAAAAAAACACACCATTTTCTTCAGCAAATTGTTTGGCTTCTTCATATGTAACATCCCTCTGTGCTTCCAGGTCTGCTTTGTTTCCTATGAGGATTATCACCTGGGTCAGGAGAGACAAAGTTAGTCTGGGAAAAACCTTAGGAGCCTTTTCACTGCCACCTTTGTAAAAAAGCCAAATATGCAGAGCAGATTATCTAGAGAAGCCATGCTCCTTCAGGAGAGCTCTGCTCTAGCATTGCCCACTCTGGGAAAGCAGGAACACCATCTCCAGGTGTCACCTTGCAAAGCTTTAGGGTGTCCTCATGAGATGAGCTCCTAAAAAGCAGTGCTGCTGCTCTTTGCTCCTGAGAGCTGTACCCTGAGCCACTGCTGGTATTTGTTTAATCAGCTGCTAATCCAGACAGGACCTTTAGATCATCAGTTTGGTGCTAAAGTATTTTAGAGGCATCCAGGAACAGGCTGAAGAACAACAGCTCTGTGCTATGGGCAGAGACACCCAGCAGGATCTTCCTCCACAAAACCTGGTCAGCTTTTGCTGGAGATCCAATTTACATTCCAGCCTAAGGACAGCATTCACCTCATTACTGACACAAAGCAAGGAGTAACACAAGTCAAGGCTGGTCCAGATTTCATCCCAGTTCTGTCTCCAACTGTTTCAAACAGACCCTGAAAGGTGAGTGGCACAAGAAGACTTTTAGAGGAAGCCCTTTTGCTCCAGCTGCAGCAGGGAAGTGAACACTGCACTCTGCAAGTGGGGACAGGAGCAGTGCAGAAAACACAGGCAGCTCTCACAGAGACCACTGCAGTGCTTTGGCCTGAGCCTCCCACTGCTTGCTCAGGGAGAAGCAATCTTGCTTTGAAGCTAAATGAAGTGCAACTTACAGTATTTGGATTGGTGAGGTTCCTTGCATCTGTCAGCCAGCTGCTTAAGTGATTATACGTACTTCTTCTGCAAAGAACCAGGAGAGCACACTTTTAGTCTTTTATAAAATATTTAGGTGCCAACAGCACAGTCAGCATCCAAACACAGTAACATCCATCATCCCTGTTCTCCCCACCTCTAGACAGACACAGCAGCAGCAGTGTGGACTCACACCACAAATTTGAACTTCAAACCCTTGGAGCAGCTCTTACACTGCCACTGGAAAACCAGAGCAATTCCCACAGCTCTGCACACAGACAAGGCTGATGCTGCTCTGTACAGAACACATGAAAGAGTTTCCTGTCAAATACTCTTAGAGAACACAGTGCAGCAGAACAGCACTCCACTAGCAAACTGCAGAAGGTCGTGTTTTACTCAAGATTTACACCAACAGGAAATACACCTACACATACAGGAAAAAAAACAAGAGGTGCCTGAAGAATATCAAGAAAAGCCCCAGAGGAAGATGAGAGATGTGTGAAAACAAAAGTATTTCATGTTGCATCTATGCATCATTGTTTGAGCAGCACCCTTAGCTGTCCCCTCTGGAGGTCAGGCTGAGGCCAGGCTCCCTCCCCACACACCACGGGCAGTTCT